GGGGGGGGGGGGGGTAGATTCTTGCTTAGGTTTCTATCCTATGCTATGCGCAGCTGCAAGTCTTTATCAAAATATGTCAAGGTCAACGGACAGAGGCCTCATCATCACCTGGAGATACCCACACGATGATATGCACAGCTCTTAATTGGATGAGACAATTGAACGATTGGGTGTGGGAACGTTGCCATTACTTTGTATATGTGATTTACGTGCCCATTTTCTCAGATTCAGAATTCTTTTGTTGCTACCACTTGATTTCCAGTAAAAGGTATCTTTTCTCTGATTAATGAAATCTAAGTATTTCTTTCTTGGATTTTGAATGGAGCAGCAGCTGACAGAGACTCACACACTCACTGAGACTCTTTTGAGATGAAGACTAAAACAACCCAGGGGTCTGACTCCATCTTATGGCCATTTGAGAAACCACACCCAATTACAATTTTTTGCATTTTCTTAAATGTTCTAAAATGTCTATCCTGGTTTATATATTTCCAACCCAAATAGCTGTTAGGTGATTTACATTCCTAACATTTTCAGTTTTTATGGATAATTCAGGCTGCAATGGATATTTGTTGTATATTCTAAAATATCAATTGCAACATCTCCTGTCAAAGAAACCATTTGTAGTAAACTTTTCTTTTGAGTTGCCGTTATGAACAGTTATTTTGAATGCGAATCTTCTCAAGGCCTCAACATTTTAACCCGTTTTAAAAATCTTTTTAGTCTTCTGTGTGGTTATTCTGTTGACCACTCAGAATTCCTTCTGGTAGATGGGCAGCTATACAAGTGGCATAATTAAAAAAATAGATGAATAAATAATCTTTTGGTCTGTCTCCCAAGGAGGGGGGAAAGGGGTTAATCTTTTAGTCACATACTTCTACGGCGACAGCCAGGTTTTTACACTATTAAAATTATTTTACTTTTGGAATTTTACCTTTTTATCACCAGAAAAGTGAGGTTGCTATCTTTCTTAAATTTATTTATTTATTTATTTATTTATTTATTTATTTATTTATTTATTTATT